CAAATAGAATTGAACAAATATACTTATTTGATATGAAATTATATCTTAATTGTAGTTTTCTCATCTTCATGTTAGTTTTGAAAATTGATGAATCAAACGTTTTGTATTTATTTGAGATTTAATTATTGAATTAAATAAGGTTGATTTGTGGAAAAAAAACAGAGCATGATTTATGAATAAATGATAAATGAAGTCCAAGAATGTTTTATTGTAATAATTGAATTTTGATTATGAAATTTTACTTTTCCATTTAAATTTGTTCCAGATTCCGGACTAGTACTTCCGTTAGTAATTGAAATTCATGTGAGAAACGATTATTGTACAGCAAATTTTTTTCTTTGGATATTGCATTTGATTTGATTTTCTAATTGTAATGATTTAGTTTGCTTCCAGGTCTCGTAAGTAGTATGTAGTTTTTAGTATCAAACCCTAAGTCCGCCAACTCCAAGGTCATTGTTCTGATCAGGTCTTATGGAATTTGCATTGTATTTTTTATTTGAATGATTATGTACGTAAATTTGTTGATACTTAAGATGGGTATTTGTATTGGAAAAAAGGTTTTTATTCCAAATTTCGAAGAAGTCAGTGTTGACAGCAGTTGATTTTGTACGTTTTTCCAACAATGAATAGTTACATATATCAGTGGAGGACAGACATTCTTCATGCATCACGAGTTTATACAATTTCTTCTCTACCTTTTATGTTTCAGAAACATCACAAACCTTTACACTTAAAACTCACAAACAGTCCATCTGTAGGTAAAGTATGAAATATTGATATTTTGTATTTTGATGGAAGAGAAAGTTGTAATTATGTGACTTCAATAACTTCTTGTTATTTGTTTATTTATTGATTTTGGTTTCTTTAATTTGGCTTTGATCATTTGTAGAAGTTAACAGTGGGGTTAGAGGGAGTTCATAATGGAGACTCAGTCGACTGGTTTAATGGGTATGATAACAAACAAATACCAGATTTAGGCATTTTTGCCTGAATATATTCAGTGGGAGTTGTATGGAAGGAAGTTTTTCTTAGAGACAGGGAACTTTGGTCACCTTTGAAAATATTTGGTATTGACATTTAAGGACATCTAACTAAAGCAGAAACAATATATATATATATATATATAATATATATATATATATATATATATATATATATATATATATATATATTTATTACATATATCTATATCTATATATATATATATATAGATATAGATATAGATATAGATATATGTATGATATATATATGTATATTGATTTTGGTCCAACAGAAATTGCAGTATGGTTGTACATACGTTGTAAGGATCATGCTTGCAAGTTAGGAAGTGATATTCTGTAAGGAAAAATATTAATTTGTTTCTTTCACTATATTGGGTATTTTCATTGTGCATAGTTATCTGCTTGTCTCACCCACTTTTTCTCTCTATATTTCACATCATTAAGCTTATTCTTTACTGCCAATCAACTGTATAAAAACAACTCCTAAAGAAAGATATTACATTGGACAAGAATGATTTCCTTTCTTGCAAGTATACCGTTGTGAAGCAGCTGTGACGTGAGTGGCATCAGCATAATGATTAACACATTTCCTCATTCCCAGTAAGATTATTGTCTTATAAGCAGCTGTTACTGTTTGTGATATTCTTGATGTTAGTGTATTATAATCACTCATAGCCCTCCTTGGCACACATCTTTTTCAGCTCATCTTCACTTGTAATGATAATCACCTGAACAGATGCTAGCTAGGTATAATACACACAGAGAAGTTTTGTATTACTATTTTCAAGGAAAAGGGGATAACATTTCTTTTTGAAAAGAGGCAGTTACAACCATGCTTTCAGTTATCTGTAATGTGTTTCATTCTCATTTCAGAAGAGTAATGAATGTTTTTTATGTTTATTTTCTTGGTTATGAATTCTCTCTTTATGTTAAACCATCTTCAGGAAATCACATTCACACAAATGCATGCAGACATGCCCATATGCAGATAAGATACATACACAAATACACATACACATATACATTCAAATACATATACACGTGCACACACACACACACACACACACACACACACACACACACACACACACAACACACACACACACACACACACACACACACACACACACACACACACACACACACACACACACACACACACACACACCACACACACACCTACACACACACCACACACACACCACACACACACACACACACACACACACACACACACACACACACACACACACACACACACACACACACACACACACACACACACACACACACACACACACACACACAACACATACACATACACATACACACACACACACACATACGCATACACATACATACACACACACACACACTTACATACACACACACACACACACACACACACACACACACACACACACACACACACACACACACACACACCACACACACACACACACACACACACACACACACACACACATACACACACACAC